GTTTTCACCGAGTTTCATATTTTATCTTTTATATGTTACGTTTCTTTAATGCTTTTTTACGTTAGAATTTGTTGATGCTTGATGTGAGTTAAATTGTATTGATTTGAATCTTAGTAGATTTCATTGTTTGGGTCTCATTTACTTGGAACGATCCCAATTTTGTGACCATAGTGTACACTCTTGGTTTTTTTGTTGCAACAACATTGAGTCTATATTCTTATGTTTAAGGGAAAATAACTAAAGTGAAAAACAACAAAAGTATCACAGTACGGTGGATACCATATATCTCTCACATAAAGAAATATTTCTCTTACTATTAAAAACATATTTTAGAGCGATGTTTTATAGTTTGGAGATCCTTCACTCTACTTAAATGATTTGGTGTGTTGTCACATCTTGGCGAACTCATTACAAATTAATTTATTATTTTAGTATTTGTTATTTTAATTTATCATTAGTTGATATTTATCTTGATGTAATTCATTGATAAATAATATATCTTTTATTTTTATTTTCATAATTCAAATAGGTTGCTAGTTAAACAACTACTATAAACTAACTACATTAGAGTAGCCTAAAGTTATCACACCATCTGCCAGTATGGCTCTCAAAACTTGCTCATTCTCTAACCTATTCCTACCTTACTTCCATAATAAGTAAGTTATCACAGTCCAATCACAAGAAAAATATAATGGTAAGCTTGGATTCAAAAGAAACGAAGAAGTATTAAATGAACTATACAACTTCAACATACAACATACACTTACTACTCAACAACATATTCAACTAGATACATAGACCACCTAACCTACTAACATATCGACAATACAGCTTTTCAACACAACATGTGATCAACACAATAGCTCACAACACAACTTAAACAACATTACAACCTAGCAATACATATCATCTTCATAACATATCAACATAGTAACATGATACATCTTCGTATATTTCAACTAAGAGATCTCTTACAATACAAGTGAATAGTCTAAGTGACTTAACCTTACCAAATCAACTTAACAATGTGATCTTTTTGAGCTTGTTAGATCAAGAAAAAATTTGGATATCAATCTACAACACAACATGGTTTCATGGATTTCGTTACTTAAACTAAAAAAGTATAGTATTCCTATAAAAGATAAGATAAATCACGCTTGACATCATTCATCCCACACTCAATGTGACCAAGTTAGAAAGTTCCATTCTAACTCACACCCAATGCTACCAATCTCACGCATAATGTCAGTGAGGCAAAAAGCCTTTTGCATGCATCACACTTGGGACCTTGAAGTTGCACCCTATGCAATGATGATTTTCGCACTTGATAGAATCACAACTTTGACTCCCATCACCTAAAAATCAATCCACAACAACTTGCAACACAGAAAAACACAGCTATACATCATAATCAACTCATACACATCGTAATTTTCAACATGCAACCCACCAATAGCTCAAATTATCATTTTTCTCAAGTTCTTCAAATACCAACTAAAAACTCAAAGCTTAAGCATTTCGATCTCAAATTCAACCAACACAACCATGAAAATGCATAATTCAAGCAAAGATTCTACAAATAATTTAACAACGAAAATCCAAGAGCTTTCCTTATCTCAGATCGTTAAGAAAAGAGGTAAAAGGAAGAAAGAACAAAATCCCCTTAAAACTTCGCACAACAACTTTGAGTCTTAGATTCTTAGCCCTAGAGGCTTTTAATCCCTAGACAAAAACTTAATCCTTCTTAGGGGAAGACTATATAATTCTCTTGGAAACTTGGAAGGAGAAGGAAGAAATTCTGAATCTATAGCTCCTATCTCTAACTTCTCTATAATTTTCTTAAGAAATTAATTTATGAAATTCAAGTCTTAAGGAAAATCTTATATACAATCTCCTAAACTTAGTCAACTTTAACCTCAACTCAACTCAACTCCTAAACAATAAAAACTCATAAAAATATTTAAATCCTTAGAGTTTTACAACAATTCAAACAACTAAATCACAACATCAATTAAATTAATAAAATCAACACACATAATTAAAATTCATAGTGTTACGAATCTTATTTTTAATTTATGTATAATCTAATTTTAACTTATAAAAAAACTTATTTTGATTTTTCTTTCTATTTTTTTTTTACTTAAATGCTTTTGAAAAAATTTAATCAAACATATTCTAAATTTAAAATCTTTGTTAGAAGCACTTTTTCAAAAGAAATTACTGCCAAGTGTAATTTTAGGTGCACATTAATTGAGAACATGTAATTAGCTCATAGTCATGCAATTTGAGTGCACAAGAATTTGGTCGCTATCGGTAACCACTTTTAACTAAGAGGAAAGTTAAAATTTAATATAATTTGGAATTGATAAACATTAAGCCACAACTCTTGATGGAGTCTCGATTTGGTACAACTCCATGGAACCTTCTTTCAACTCCTTCTTGTAATTCCTTGAGAAGACTTCAAGGAGAGGATCCGAGATAAAGAAGGAGCAATGTTGCTTCAATGGTGAACTAAGCTTCTCGGATTAGAAGAAGCCTAAGCCTAAAGCTACAAAGAGGAACACTCAAGGAGAAATGGAGATTGGAATTCTCCTTGGTGACTTCGGTTTGAGAGAATTGAAGTTCTTGAAGAAGAATAATTCTCATTGAGTGCCAAAGTGAGCAAAATACACGGCCATATGAAATATATAGGCCTAAAAAGAGTATGGAAGAAGTTAGCCTAACCCAAGGTTAAGATAAACTATGGTATGATTTAAGTTAACCTTTAGGCGCCTAAATTTGAATTCAAAATTCAAATTTGGGTTCTGGCCATGTGCAAGCGCCATTTAGATGTGATTTGGCTTGCATTTGAGTCATGCCATGTGCGCCACTCCACTTGGCCGGTCACATGGTTCAAATGCTTGCCAAATGTAAGCTAAATTGCATGTAAATGAGGTTACACATGTGCTTAATTATTTCAAAGTATAGAAATGACCGAAAATTACAAGGTCTAAAATCCTATACTACTTGGCCAAAATACAAAGTGCACAAACAAAATTTACAAGCCCAATAGGCCAATCCTAATCTATATGGGCTTTAATGCATAGTCCAACTAAAGACCACTATGAACTTTTCTTGATCATTGGCTCATTCTTCCTCTAATCTCTTTATCATAATCCTAGTGATTAAATCCTTGATGCATGGACCTCTATCAACTCAGGAATATTGTTAAAAATAATACCTGTATTGCAAAATCTTACCATAACCTGATTCCTAAAAACCTACACTCTAGAACCACTTCAGCTACGTGAGACTCTTAAGTCACCACTGAATTCACATTTTAACATCCTAGAACATCCTTAAACTCTTCAATAATAGAGGCTAGAGCTATTATTTTTTTATACATATGTAGTTATACTTGACCTTAGGTTATAAGTACAAGCTAGAGAGATTGTTGACTTGACATTTAGATCGTTAATGATTTGATAGACGCCCATGTTTAATCCTGTTCATAACACGTGCCTCTTATAACGCCAATTAGAATATGTCACTACGTGGGGCATTGTAGCCTCCTTTTACATGCACACACCACCTTACATTAAATGTTGTAATTAGTTTAAGAGATTATGATCGTACATTAAGAATGTAGGATAAGGCCAAGCCACATACTCCCTTATTCATGGATCTGAAAGTAAAATATTTGGGAAATAACTTTAAACGGAATCTACCCAGCTGGAAACTCTTCGTCAAGTACATTTGCCAAACATTATTAAATTAGACAGGAATAAGAACTTCCCATAACTTCCTAAAGAATCCACTCATGAGATAATTTTTAGTTTTAATTTTTGAGATTCCTTATCAGAACAGTATCAACTTCTGAACTACTTTGTGACATGAGAAAATTGTACTTGAATGTGGAAACCCGACTAAATACATCGAATTGTTTGGTCATTGAATTATTCTTTTACTAAAATATATCATATTGTTCTGTCATTAGAAACGTTGCTTTTGCGATTGCCTAGTATAATTAGCATTTAACTGTACCATACTACTTACTATATGTTTATGTAAAACACAACTTATGGATTAATGCGATGGTCTTCTGTAACTAACGAGAAAAAAAAAATTATCTGCTACTCTGTCATTGCTCGTCAGAATCATTATTACAGCTAGCTTAGTTTGCTTTTGGATCTTGTCTGCGAATGGCGTGCTGACCAGGAGCCATCTCACCTATATGGAAGAAGTTGACCTTGTAAAATAACCAATGCATTGAATGTAGCTCATTGTTCTACCAAACAACACAAGATTTGTTACTAGAAATAATGAAATATTGCTCACACCACATCAACACAAACCACCACCTTGGATTTTCTTTTAAACAAAAAATTCTTATATATATGAAGATTTAAACCACTAAAATCGGTGTAATAGTGAAATTAAGATAGATATATGAAGATTTAATCTTCATCTCTGATATTGTAATCTATTTTACTAATTAAAAAAATAGAGTACGACACTTGGTTTGATAAAAGCATTGCATAACTATTCAAGCAGTAGCATTATAATTAAAACATTTTTAAAAAATTAAAATTATTTCTCAATCATTCCGAATATTATTACTCTCACATTCTCCTTTCTGTTTCTAATGGGCATATTTCATTGCTGACATTGTTTGATTGTCGAAAAACATGCTAACCAGGAGGATACTAAGAGCAGATACATGGACAGTGCTGGTGGAAAGTAACTCTAAGCAATGTTGCAATTTGTATTTAAGGGATTCACGTTTTTGCACGCTTTATCAGAACTCATTGCCCCAGCACGAGAATATGCATTCATATGGTCCACAAGACCACGCATATAACGCTGACAAAATTAATGAACTTCAGTAGTAACGCTGTTACAACTAAGACATTGATTACATCTCTATTATGGTTAAGATACCCTTATGTTGAAGCATTAATCGAGGTTGGCGTCTAAAGAAAATTATATCTCACAAAACTGACGATCAAGATTAATAAATATATAACATAATTTTTATTAATCAAACATTATTTTAATATTGTAACAATCATGACAAAAATTACTATTTGAAGATATGAGAGATCCAGCCTCTTATTTTTTCTTTTAACCGTAGGAGCATGCTTATTCACATTGATTTTGGACTAACAATGGATCAACTCTTGTTTTAATGATAAATCAAATTTCAAGACCATGATAATCCACTCGACAAAATCATACACAAAGTGAAAAATACAACATAGAAGTGGGGCTATTTTGTTTGCAGATTTGTTCTGAGTGTTGTTTGCAAATTGCAATTGCAGCAAAACATTTCTGCCTCGTACCACTACCTACGAACTGATCCACCTGCGTTCAAAATCTGTTGCTCCATCTACAATCAGTAGAAAGATAAAAAGGTAATAAATATTAATTAACAGCTTCTCATGATTTTACAGAAAACATGCACTGGAGAAGATCCTCATCCCCTTACCCTGAAGAGAGTTTCAAGCCTGTCTTTCACCAAGGAGTACTCATGTTTCACTTGTTGCAAGTTTTTAAGACACCTGAACACCAAGCATTTTTTTTCTATCAGAATATCGAAAATTTTCTTTTAGGACAAAAAAAAAAAATGAAACCATAGAAACAACTATGAAACACGAAATTTTGCAAGATTTTGAAACGGAATTGTGATGAACGTTACCCTTCAACGTTTTGCTCCTCACAAGAGTTTCTAAAGGAAATGCAGACTCTGTGAATTCTATGTGCTCCAATGCTGCATTTCCAAAATAACTTACTTTATCAAACTTATGATAGTCGTACTTTATCAAACTTATGAATCTTATGATAGTTGCAAAAATATACAGTGAGGTAAGACAAAAAATGCAAAGTATTATTAAGAATCTAGTTATAATTCTAACTCAATCATACAAAATGAATTTATAAGTGAAGGTGATCCTAGTTATGTACATTATTATGGTCATCTTACAAGTCGATCCGGAATGTCCAACAAATATCCGGAACAAGCTCTAACAAAGATGAAGTTCAACTATGCTACATGTCCTTATTAGCACCAATGTAAGAAAGCAAGGCCATCATTCCCATCATAATTTTTTGAGATGGATTCTATATTAAGTTTAGTTATAAAGAATTAATTACCTGGAGCTGCTACCCTTCAACTGGTGAACATGAGCATCCAAACTTTTGAAATCAACGCTTGGCTGGCCTCTGTTAGAGATCATTGAATCAACATTGAAATGTGGAGTTTGGAAAGAGTTTCTCAAAGACACATGATTCCATGGCCTAAAGATGTATAATAAAAGAGGAAATTTTAGTGCCCTTACAATGCTTTTGTGAGTTCATTAAGAAGCCTATCCGCGTCTTCAAAAAAGAGAGTGACCACTTCAACAACAAAACCTGGGTTATTTTCATCTTCAAGTTGCTGAAGCTGGTTAAATTGTTCATCCAGAAAGCCCTTTTTTAAGGACAACAAAGACATCACCAGAGTGAGAGAACAACATATAACAAGGCAAAGCAGAAATCACATGACCCATATCCAAAGAAAATAAACATAATTCATGAAACTTGCCTTCCCTTTGTAATGTAATATGGCAGTTGTATAGCATGCTTACTCAACTTACCTCATGGAATAGGGAAGCAGTATAATCAATAAGTTGTCTCTGCAGCTCAACTATGCCATCCATATTGAACGTTCCGTAAACTCAATTACAAAAATTATAAAAGTAATTAGAAATAACATAATAATCAAACATTATATTATAACTCCATATTAAAAAGTAAAATAGCAAATTACATTAAAAATAAAATGTCAGAGTCGCAGTGAACTCGCGGAGGAGAAGAGTGGTTCGCACACGGAGTAGAAGAGTGATTGAAGAATGCTTCACTGCTTCGCCGGAGAAGACAAAGAGGAGATCCAGGTTTCGTAACGCCGGGAGACTCAAATGTCAACTCAAACTCTCTTATCACTCCTAACCAAAATCAAAACGGGCCGTTTAATTTATTTTGAAAAAGAAAATCAAAATTGTAATCTTTTAAAATCAGACACATCTCGCCAAATCACGCCAGATCACTAAAATTATTATAAAATTACTTTTTTTTTATAAAAAAAATTATAAAGATTATCGCAACAAAGATTAAACCTATATGTATATGTTTGTAACTACGTATATATATACAAACATACGTAAAGTGTCATTTTCTATTCTTTAATTTTTTATGAAAGAGGTTTAAGATTTGAGAATTGAGAGTTACAGTTTGGAGAAGATATCTGTCTAAGATGGATTATTCTTTGCGTTATATATCTTTCCTACCATGGCCGCAATATGTATAGTTTTCCCACATGAGAATATCCAAATCAATGGTTTTTTCATAAGCGACAAATTAGAAAGAAGAGTAAATGATAATCCAGCTTTTTAAAGTTTATGTTGTGTATTTTTGGTTTCTGAAAGTTTAATTATGTATAAAATAATCAATCAAGTTTTAAAAATATGAATGAGTTAATCATTGTATTAAGAAAAAATCTGACGCATTAAGTGGACATGTTGAATTAATAATTTTATTATAATGTAGTTTTTATTTATTTATTTTTATTTTTATGTTAGTGATGAATATATGAAATACATATTGTGCATTGATTTGAATGTGAAGTGCTACATTATTTTTCATCTAAAAAAGGGAGTGTTTATCATTACATTTACAGGTATCAACGAAAGAGGGAACAAGTAAGACAACAGCCACGCGTTTGTTCCCTACGAAAATAATGATTATGATGTGAATCTTGTAATCAATTTTCGACGGTTAGTATAATCTCATAATTCGGATTTCTTGTCAGTTTCGATTTATACATATATATACATTGAATCGTTCCATTTCATTATTTTAATTAATGCTTTGGAACAAACTCAATTTCCATTACTTTCTTGTATTTAGTTCTAATTCACTTATAAAGTGCTCAGCATTCGTTTAAGAGAAAAGAATGTTCAAATAGAATTTTTCTTCTATGTATGACTCCAACTTTATATTTACAAGCATTTTATGTTGGATGCTTAATATAAATAATATTGGTCTCATATAAGAATAATTATATATTCAAAACATGTAAAATTATGTTAAATTAAGGTGATTTGTAAAAATTATTTAAATAATTAAGAATAATCATTAAAAATATTTTATATGTTAAATTGAATTAATGAAATAAGTATTAAATAATTTTCAAATAAACGAAATCTCTCTTATTATTTTGTTTGCAATCAAGATTATAGTAAAATAAGATTTATTTATAGATTTTGATTTGCTACTGCTGGGTGCGATGATTGCGTTGATTTTTTTTTTATTTTTAAATTAATCAGTTTCGATCATTCTTCATTTTCTTTTTATTTCGGTTATTATTTATCGCTGGTTTCAATTTGTTATAAGCTTGTTTAATACAAATTAAGAATTCAATTGGTTTTAAACTGATATATTAATTACATAATAATATTATGTTGAATGTTTGATGTATGTTTGTATTATTGTGATAATCAATGTATCATACTCGTTAGTTTTTTTAGCGATGAAAATGGTTGATTCTTGTATGTTTACAAATGAAAATGAACATCTGAATTTGTTTTTTCAGTTTTATAATATTTATTTTTCATAAAAATTGCAATTATAAAATATGGTAACATCCAATTTTAGTTTTTAAATTCAAATACTGAAAAAGTTTTCATGAGATTAATTAATTGAACAAGTCATCAAGAAATTATTGAGTAGTTAAAATTTTATCTAAAGATAAAATGTTAATGTATTATTGATATCTTGAAATGAGATTTATTTGTATTTGAATTTAATTTTATTTACTATATTTTGAGACTTATATAAGTGTATTTTGTTTATTGTTCTCAATTTAGTAATAAATGATCTTGTGAATATTACTACTAATGTCGATTTTAATCATGTATTAAACGGCTCAGACTTCAAGTCTTGAAAAGATAATGTCTTGATAGTTTTTGGAGTAATGAATCTCGACCTTGTGTTAATAATAGATTCTCTCCCACTTCTTATGGATAAGGGTACCTCTAAAAACAAGAGGGAAATATAAATGTGGGAGAAGTCAAATCTCATGAGTTTAATGATCATGAAGAAGGTCATTTTGGAAGCATTTTGGGGTATGATATCTGACATAAATACAACTAAGGAGTTTCTTGTAAAAATTAAAAAGAGGTTTGTTAAGAATGAAAAGTCTAAGATAGGTACACTCTTAGCAAACCTAATTTCAATGAAGTATATGAGTAAGAGAAACATCATGCTATTGATCAAGTAACTATGAAGTCCACATCAGGCTATATATAGATGCTAGTTGGAGGTGTTATTTCATGGAAAAGTGCTAAACAATCTCTTATAGGCTCTTTTACCATGACAATTGAGTTCATAGCATGTTTTGAGGCATCTAATCATGAAATTTGGTTGCGAAGTTTTGTCACGGGACTACATGTAGCGGATGACATAGAAAGACTACTTAAGTTATTTTGTGACAACAAATTATTAGCTCTATTTTCAACAACAACAGAAGTTCAATGAAGTTTAAACACATAAACATCAAGTTCCTAGTAATTAAAGAAAGTGTTCAAAGTAAAAAAGTTGTCCATAAAACATATTAATACAAACTGTATGGTTGTGAATCCGCTTACTAAAGGATTACCACTCGAAATGTTTTGTGAGCACACTGCTCATGTCTTTAAGTGATGTTTAGTTTTAATGGGAGTTTGTAATTTTTGAATGTGTATGACATAAACATATTAATATAATTTTTGAATGTTTTGTAATTTTTCAATATATGTATGGTTCAAGTATTTTTTCTACATAAATAAAGTTTAGATGTATTGAAACTATGATTTTGTTATGGTTTGTCTCACTAAGATTTAAGGAGGATTTATTGGAATTAGACATGTTGGCATCATATTATGTGAACATTTCATACTACACATCCAACTCATGTTATTCATTTACATCAACATATGTGACCATTGGTAGGTTTAGTTACGATAATTGTAACAAAGACTACTTTGATTCTATGTTGGTATGATTGATGGACCAGATTGATAACAGATACATTTGATAATTATATAATTATAAGGTTACACGTATAATACAATTGAGATTGTTGGATCCTTAATCCAATGTTGGTGAATAATTGTATATTGAGGACATATAATGTTATATCAAAATAAAGTGATCTAATGACATATAAATTATGTGGGTAATTATTTATTTGAAAGGATATAAAACATTTAATGTATAGTAACTAAAGAATCATTCTATTTTGTGATGAATAAAAATAGAAATATCAAAAGATAATTGTATGATTATCTATAAATAAGTTAAGTTTTTAAGTTACTAAATTATTTTCTTTTCTAAAATCTTATTATTTGAAGGAGACAGAAATATAACTAAAAGGTTATCTTAAGAGAATATGTGTTGACTTGAAAGATTAAACTATACTGCTCACTTATCATCATCAATTTATATACACTACTTATAATTAATTTTTAAGGATTAACATGATAGATTTTAAATTATATTGATGAAGACTTAAACTTAGTTTTAACGTTAAAATTTGTATAAGTTAAAAACTGCACCAAAAATTTTCGATTACCTAGTACACGATCTCTGGTCTGGTCAGTGTGTAGTAAGTGGCAAGCAGAGGCAGTAGAGCAAGGCATAGCAGCAACAGCAAATTTGTGGATTTTCTTCTTGAATCAAGTAGCCGAAAGTGGGTTTGGTGGCACATCACAAACTGTATATGCTGGTGAATAATTGGAGGTATAAAACTGTGAAGGGACCACCCTTACTTGTCTTCCACCTTTTCAAATCCAACCATTCACATCTGTCGAGCTATTATTTGCTACATTTCTGCACTTAATGCCCAAAGAGTACAAAGGTGTAGGATGTCCGAGAATCCAAAGCCACCCCACCCATCAAATGAAACCCATCATAAATTTTATTAATAAAATCACATGACTCAATTTCGCATTCATCTGTCACTTTGCCTGTTTCTCCCAAAAGTAACTCCACATAGCAAAGTAAAAAACATTAATTTTTTTGGCAATGCATCTGACCAATAGTGAGATGCATATTGGGTAGTATATATTTAAAGAGTAAATGAGTAATGATATGGGAACACCTCTCTACTTTAAACATCTTATTGACACTTATTATTATTATTATTATTTTTATCACACTCTATAATTTATTATATTTATATCCATATTTCTTTTTTCTATCTCATTTGGTTCCAAGTGTTATTTAAATTTGGAGTGTGCACCAAAAAGTTTTAATATTGGATAGCATATCCGTACAATAACGAGTTATTGCTATACTATTTTTTACCTTTCTATTTTTAATATTTGGTTTGGAAGCAATTATTGAGGAGGCAGCTCCTTCGAAAATGGTTTGTTTTTCTTTGAATCCCAGTGGCATAATTTTGTGGACACCATGTCTGATGAACCACTCATTTGATACACGTAATGTGTGGCTGGGATGCAGGACTCTTCACTCCACCTTGCCTTGTTCGGTCCCTCAAAGGCTCGATCCCCAAAAATGTGCAGTTCACCACAACTAGTTATAAGCGCACTGAATGCCTAGCCTAACTAGTTTTTTTTTTTATTATTTTTTTTATTACATGTTTTTCATTTAAACTAAAAACATCTACAATATGGTAAGACTAACTTTCTAGGATTTTATCTTCAATTAAAATTCCAACCCGAGATGATATCATTTTTAAATTGAACTACCCAACTATTCAATCATTGCCTTTTGGTAAAGAATGATTTTGTTTTCAACTAGTATTATTGTTAACATAAGAGCAGCCTGTTACCTGCAATGTTGGAAAGTGTTGAACTAAGGCATCTTCCAGGCGAACAAATTCGGGCAGTCTCACTTTTTTCAACTATTAACTATTGCTTAACATTATTAGAAAGAAAAGATTAAATAAATTTCCCCTCTTTTTATTTACATTATTCTATTTCGCCTCTCATTTTCATAAACTAGTTGAAAGAACTTATGAAAATAAGTCTTAAGCTACTTAAATAAGCTTTATACGAGACAAGTTTAATCAAACTAACTATAAGCTAGTCTGAGTAACTTATGAAAGAAGCATTATTTCACAGTACCTTGTAAAATAATTGCTGACATTAAATTTTTTAGATATATGTCATGCCATTACTAAGTGATGATAATAAATTTTTTAAAAAATTTCAAAATTCATAAAGACTTGAGAAACAAATTTATTTTTGAAAGCCTGTAATTTTATTTTATTTATATGATTAACGAATATTTAAAGACCAGCAAACTATGACACCTTATTGGGTGAACCTTTCGGGTAGGTCCACTCTACACTTCGAAATACCACGCAATGGCATTTCCCGGATTCTCTAATCTTTAACTGTATATCATTATGCCATATTTTAGCACCAAACAAATAACACTTTTTAATTTTTTTTTTTCCTTTTTCGGAAAGTCAATTGAATATGAAAAACTCTTCTATTTTATTGGATGATAATATACTAGTTATAAGTATTCCGCTCTCATGTCATCAAGGAGACAAGAATGCAACAGTAAATAGCCTTATTTTGAAGTTCATACTATTTTTAATATCAAGATACTATTTTCCAAAGGACAAATGAATCTCTTGAATTCAGCAAGAGTGTCACGAGAAATATAAATAATTCTGCATGAATGAGAACAAAAGAGAGCAGTGTAAAGCAAACATGCTACCTGCCCCCTCCCCCCTTCCTCTTTGACCTGTTCCCTTTGCCTCCAAAGCAATGAACTATGAAGAAAAAAATATAATACACACATAAAAAGAACCCGCCCAGAACCCACACAAATAATTTGTAGTCACGAATTTCAATATACATCATTTACATGAAAGTTAGAAGGTCAGAAGAATCACTGGACTGGGAAGGAATATTGAGAGTGAAGAACATTAAATTCCTTGAATCAATGGTCAGTATCATTTAGCTTGTTGCAAGGAAATCACCTGCATTTGTCAATTAATTTCCTTTACAGCACCAATTTACAGCAATTCAAAGAGGGAGGCAAGCATAAATAAAATAGTCATCAACCTGCAATACAAGCATTTTTTAGTTTTAAGAAAAATAAAAATGAAACAGACAATATGACCAAAAATGAAAACTATTTTCAATGTTGTATGTTTTTTTATACACATCTTCGAGTGCTACACACACACAAAGCAAATATAGCAAAGCTAAATGTCATTGAAATCAAAAGGTAACTGCTTCAGATTCATACCTTCCTCAGAGAAGTCAAATACATCACCAAGCATGTCATCATTATCACCATCTTCATCAGATTTCTCCCTGCCACAGGGACTGCTACAATCCACATCAGTAATAACTTCTGTTGATTCATGACAGTCAACTGATGCTTTACAATAACCTTCTTGAAAAAATTGCTCAAAGTCTGGTGAATCACGTATTGACTCCTCACAATTAACGTTCATATTCAAATCAGAGCCACTAAAACTTGAATTGAAACTGTCACTGGCTTTTTCATGTTTTGATGATTTAATAACCTTTGCAGTTATACTATCAGCAAAATTTGATGCACCTGCTGAAACATCATTTATGTCAACAGTTTTCACTTTTGGGGCTTAAAAGAGGTGAGCCAACACAGCTGACTCTATTCTTGCAACTAATCTCATTCATAGAAAAGTTATCAAGAAAAAATTTCTGACAAGTCTGAGATAATAATAGTCAAGAACAATGGAGTTAAATAGTTCACTAAAAATTACTACCTCAAGTCCTTTATATAAGAAACGAATCAGCACATATTTTTGGTCCTTATTATAATAAACATGACACATTTTCATATGTATTAATTGCTAATTTCCTTTTACACCTTTAATTTATTGTCAAGTCTATTAATGAGACACCACTCATCCCCATGCAATGATGCAAGTGAATATTAACAATATCCCTTAAATTATGAGTAGTATTATTAAATATAACCACCATTCAAACCAGTTAAGTCTAAGGGTATCTTTAGAATAAAATTTAAATTCATGACATTATTAATTAAAATTAACTAACTTAACTATGTTCTTTAGTCTCAATGAATTGGTTATTTGTTTCCTATGTAAAGTATAAAAGAAGATTTCACACTTAATTGCTCATCTTACCAACATATGCCTTTTCGGCTAAGCTAGGTACCATCAACTTTGAATGGGAAATTGCAGAATCTTCTGACAACTTCTCTTCAGTTCCATGTGAATCAGATGAAGAGCTAGAGCATCTTCCCATAACAATACCTCTGACAAAAATTACAGAATTTGTTAGCATGTGCCTGGACAGTTATAGAGATGTTTTCAAATTTCTATCACAAGAACAACATAGATCAAGCAACTCTCCAAATAAAAACTCAAACAAATGACAAGTATAACAATGATCCTAAACATTGCACTCAGTATAGACTCCATATATAAACCATGTAGAAGCAAATAGGAAAAATAGAATAAATAACAGCTTGAAACAAACAGGATGTAACAAACTCCCATGACTTCCTAATTATATTATTTAAATTTTAAACTTAAAATAAACTAATAAAGCATTTCCATGAAGAACTTAGAGAGTAATAGAGCTTCATCTTTAATGACATATAAATGAAACAAACTGATAGATACCCATTTCTTTGTTAGTTAATTAGTTAGGTTAGTTGGTTAAAGAAATATAGAAATAAGGCATGTTGACTATAAATAAGAGGGGAGGGAAGCGAGAGGTCATTCTGTCATTTGCGAGAAAACTGGGGTCTTTGGGCATTAGGAGATGCATACCCTCAAAGTTCTGCAAGTTAGGCAGTTTCATTTCTGCAAGTGGGTTGCTGCCTTTGCATTGAGAGGAGAATCCCTCCAATGGTGGTGTTCGTGGAAAGAGAGCAATTAGAAGGCTACATGGTTGACCTTTGAGAAGATTGTGCTCATTTGGTTCCAACCAGATCTTTGGGCTTGTCTTCGAGAGTTAGAGAAGGAAGAAAACAGAAGTGAAGATGAAGTTCTTGGGATCAAAAGCCAAGAAATGAATCAAGGCAGCAGAGAAAAAAAATGCTCGTTGAATCAAGAACAGCAACAAAAGAAGAATCGGAGGGAGAAAAGGGGGCTGGAGAAATGAGGAAAATGCTGGTGAACACACGGCCTTTACAAGAGCCACCAGTGTCATATTCAGTCATGGAAGGGAGTAAGTTATGCATGCTGGTCAACAAACTGACACTGCAGGAACTGCAACACTCAAATTTGATCAGAGGTGGATCTTTGAGTTGCAAGCAAGAGAAGAGTCAACAAAAATGTCTATGAAACTCAGAGTGGAAGGGCTAGATAGGACTACAAAATCTGGGTCAATCTTTTGACCTAATGCACCAAGCCCAAATTACTAAAGAAGAATGGGCCTTGAAGAAAAGTGTTGCATTTGACTCTAGGGCTAGCAATCAGCCAAGTTCAGCCGATAGAAGGACAGAAACAAGTTACATAGAACCTATAACCCTTGCCCACACTTTGGGTGTCAACCACAAAATAGGAAGCCATAATTGAAGCAATCCATCATGGCCTCTATCATTATGCTTCATGCAATGGAACCCTGGAGGAATTTTAATTTCTGGAACTACATACAGTTCACCTTGAGGACAAGGTGGAACTTTAGGGGAGGAGTATTGATAGATACCCATTGGTTAGTTGGTTAGTTACATTAGTTGGTTGAAGAACGAAGGCATGTTGACAATAAATAGCTATAAGGAAGGGATGAGAGAAATCATCTTGTCATTTGTGAGAGGATTGGGACCTTTGGCATTGGGTGGTGTAGACCCTTTAAGTTCTTCAAGTTAGGCAGTTGTCTTTCTGTAATTCTAATTCAGTTTCCATCACAAAGCTATAGCAACAAAAGAAGGAATGCTCAAAAGGGAAAGTTGTATCTCAACAAGAAATTGCAAGGGTTAAAGAAATGCAGGGCAGTAGAGAGTAAGGCCAGGTGCAAACTGTAAAAAACTAATCTTTGACAACTCAGAAAGAATAGACTCGAAGATATTCTTTAGTGTAGGACATCTGAGAGTCTGATATTTAAAATGAATGCATCTAGACTTGTTATTTCCTAAATGGATAGTTACTACAAGTTAATCTAGTGGACCAACCACGAAAAGACAGATAAAGTGATCATTACCTGTCACCCCAGGTAGACTGAATTCTATGGAAATGGTCGAAGATGGGCAACAGATCCTTCTGTTTTATTTCAATCTCATTAATGGGAATATTCTCTATTTCAATTTCTCCACTTGTACCAAGTTCACATAAATTCAGCTCTCCAGCTTCCAAAGGACTCATCACAAAGAAAGACACCTAAAGTTGAGGGAGAAAAATAGTTTGATCAAAAGAACAAAATAATGTTGAGAAAGGTTACAAGCAGGAAT